GTAATAACAATGGTTTTATTTCGTTTTATTTAATATATTCCACACATCAGTCAGTAACAGCATTTAGTAATTTCCTTTCACTTTTTATTCATATACATATAGTACATACTATTTTTTTGTAATATTCTTTAAACATTTTCAATTGTAAGAATTTTTTGTTATTTGCCAATATGTACGAATACTACGTATGTAAAAATTTATTTCACAAGTACCTGTACACATGTACGCTAATTGATTTAATTACTCAATTACTTACAACTCAACATGAAGGCTATTGAATTCCACACTGACCAGGTATATATGAGTGTACATACATACATACATTGTACATGCATAGGCATGTAAAAATGTCTAAACACGCATGCGTATACCTTTAGTTAAATATTTGTATTAATATATTCATTGAAAGGAGGGTACTTGCGTAAATGTTAAAAGGAATCGCTTAAGAAACAATAAATATAATTAACTTTTTTGCACTTCGTTCTTTTTGGGTGCAATGGAACGGAAAGGCGCCTCGATTCTTTTGTTGGTTACTTAAGCAAGACATGCATAGCTGTAGGCTGATTTCTTAATGAGCAATTACCCACCATGCTAAACATGAGAAATAGGCAACAATCATCAGTGGCAACAAATTGGCGACTCACCGATTTATTGCTGTGGTGACAAATCGGCACCATCATTTCTTTCATGTCAACTTTGAAATAAAGGAGTTATAAAAAATTCCCAAACTTATAAATTTCGCGTCAACAGTATTATCCAAAATCGCAAAATCGTCTAAATTTTACCAAGGACAGGATTGAAAAAATATGAAGCGCCATAGCGAAAGAAAAAATGAATTCCGTTTCTAAGTTCCAATTTTGTATACAAAAAAAAGTAAGTACGCCTGGGCCACACTGGAGAAGCGAAACCTCCGTTACATATCTATTTTGTCTCATAACTAATATACATGCATATATCGATAAATATTGATAACAAAATCGATAAATATCGATAACAAAATTGATCAATATCGATAAGAAAATCGACGAATATCGATAACAAAAGCGATAAATATCGATTAAAAAATCGATAACAAAATCGATAAATATCGATAGCAAAATCGATATATACCGATACCAAAATCAGTCACAAAATCTATAAAAAATATCGCTAACAAAATAGTTAAAAATATCGACTACAAAATCGATAAAAATATCGATTATTATATCGATAAGTTCCGAAAATATCGATAGCAAAATTGATAACAATATCGATACAAATTTGGACAACAAAATCGATAAAAATATCGATAACAAAACCGATAAAAGTATCGATTATTTTATCCATAAGTCTCGATATCTCTAAAATCCCAAAATAGTTCCCAGATAAAGTCTCTGGGTCACTCTCTATATCCTTGCCTCATTAATTACCTTTATTTTAATCTTACTTCCCCTATCTTCATCTTAAATTTTATTGGTAATAAGGTAAGTCAAGGATACCTTGTTCTTCATTTTTGCATTTGTCTTTACGCATCTTTGTTTTTGTCTTTATTTTTACCTTTACCTTTATCCTTTTCGTTATTTATGTACGTACTCACCCATACTTTCATTCTTGTATTGGTCTTTTTTTAAGTGTTATTCTTTAACCTTTTATTAGCATTTTTTTTTTTAAATTAATACCATATGCATACACACAAGAAGCACTTGTTTCAGCCCCAATCATTTCCGTTGCACCATTTCCGTGTGCGATTTCCGTTCAATTTGCTAATTTACTCCCAACCAACCAACCGCCGCTAAAGAAGTTTCACTTGAAAAAGAATTTTAGTAAAAAAATGAATGAAATTATTCCAAATATCGCCTGAAGCGATAAGAAAACGACTCGCCCAGGTGAGTTGCCTTCGGCGGACGTTTTAGATCGACTGGTAATAGGAAATTGATACGCTGGCAATATTACCGGCAATAAATTTATTTCCGAAAGCGAGACGTTTTCTTGTTGGCGGCAACAAAAATTGTTTGGTGGATAATATTTTGTCCCATCATGATGGAATACATGGACCTACTAAATAATAATACCCGTATTGGAATGTTGAAATGTCTCAGAAGGGTTCAACAAAGTACGGCTCATCTAGAAGGGCTACAATGCGGGATTGCAAAGGAGCTTCAGTATGCATTTTAAGTCGCAATAGAACATATTTGCCAATAATAATAATATTAGTTTGGCGCTTACACATATGTTAGTGTTTAGCCGAGCTTCCTCTCCGACTTGTGGCGTGCGCCTTGATGTTGTCACACAAAGCTGAGTGACCTACCGTTTTACGCCAACTCCGAAGGGCGATTGCATTTTTATGAGAAGCTGTTTCTCATGGCAGAAATACACTCGGAGGTTTGCCATTGCCTGCCGAGGGACAACCGCTGTTAAGAAAAAACCGTTCACTATATTTTNTCGATTATTTTATCCATAAGTCTCGATATCTCTAAAATCCCAAAATAGTTCCCAGATAAAGTCTCTGGGTCACTCTCTATATCCTTGCCTCATTAATTACCTTTATTTTAATCTTACTTCCCCTATCTTCATCTTAAATTTTATTGGTAATAAGGTAAGTCAAGGATACCTTGTTCTTCATTTTTGCATTTGTCTTTACGCATCTTTGTTTTTGTCTTTATTTTTACCTTTACCTTTATCCTTTTCGTTATTTATGTACGTACTCACCCATACTTTCATTCTTGTATTGGTCTTTTTTTAAGTGTTATTCTTTAACCTTTTATTAGCATTTTTTTTTTTAAATTAATACCATATGCATACACACAAGAAGCACTTGTTTCAGCCCCAATCATTTCCGTTGCACCATTTCCGTGTGCGATTTCCGTTCAATTTGCTAATTTACTCCCAACCAACCAACCGCCGCTAAAGAAGTTTCACTTGAAAAAGAATTTTAGTAAAAAAATGAATGAAATTATTCCAAATATCGCCTGAAGCGATAAGAAAACGACTCGCCCAGGTGAGTTGCCTTCGGCGGACGTTTTAGATCGACTGGTAATAGGAAATTGATACGCTGGCAATATTACCGGCAATAAATTTATTTCCGAAAGCGAGACGTTTTCTTGTTGGCGGCAACAAAAATTGTTTGGTGGATAATATTTTGTCCCATCATGATGGAATACATGGACCTACTAAATAATAATACCCGTATTGGAATGTTGAAATGTCTCAGAAGGGTTCAACAAAGTACGGCTCATCTAGAAGGGCTACAATGCGGGATTGCAAAGGAGCTTCAGTATGCATTTTAAGTCGCAATAGAACATATTTGCCAATAATAATAATATTAGTTTGGCGCTTACACATATGTTAGTGTTTAGCCGAGCTTCCTCTCCGACTTGTGGCGTGCGCCTTGATGTTGTCACACAAAGCTGAGTGACCTACCGTTTTACGCCAACTCCGAAGGGCGATTGCATTTTTATGAGAAGCTGTTTCTCATGGCAGAAATACACTCGGAGGTTTGCCATTGCCTGCCGAGGGACAACCGCTGTTAAGAAAAAACCGTTCACTATATTTTTTGCTTTGACCAGGGTTTGAACCCAGGTGCTGATGAGTGAAAGCGCGCACTGCTTACCACTACTTACATTTACTTTTGGTCTAAAAAAGACTTTTCTAAATAAAAGCTATCTTAAGCGCTTTCACTGAAACGATGTCCAATAAACCGATTTATCCGGTTTTTTTCTTAATTTCAAAATCGGGAACCGGTCTTTACTGGCGTATAATCGAACACCCTAGTAGAATCAAGAAAATAACATAGCTTGAAAAATATTGCGAAAATGGGCACGTTCAGAAGGCGCAACAGCTCAGTAACTGTTGCGATAGCACCTTCTGAACGTGTTGTTTTGTACTTCTGATCAACTGAACAGTTGCGTATCAAGCCGTTCAGAAGACGCTTACTATTACTGATTTTTTTAGCAACGGTTGCGCTCAACTGCTGCGCCTTCTGAACCTACCCAATTAAAAAAAAAAATAAAGGCCTTTTCTTTTCTTTTTAATAATTATTTATTTTTTTTTTCCAATTACTCGAAAGCCAGTTTTGGAAAGAAGGGCGTATAATCGAACACGCTAACCATAGAGAGCACAAATACAATCCCTATTTTTGTAAGAGAGGTTTTCTTCTCCATTTATATCCACCCGACTAGTAACCGGTGGAATAGTCTCAGCCGGAAATTTTCAGTCAAGATCAAATGGAAGTGGGAAACCGAAAACCCTCAGCTGCCGCCCAACATCTTGTTACATGCATAGAACGCGATGGGCCCTTCCTTTGCTTTCACCACCACGTTGAACCGTCTTATTCTGTGGCAATTGATGCTTTGTTTCAGACGGAGAACTAGAGGTAGGTTCAGAACTAAATCAGTTCGGATTCTTATATTTCCTATTTAGTAAAGAGTTGTAGGTATGACTTTTTGCCGTAAATATGACACTCCATTTTTATCCAAGAAAACCTCCAGGGCAAACTTACCGCTCTAGTATGTTTGTTCTCTCGATCCATATAACATTCAGTTTAAAGTACGGAGAAAGCCAACAGTGTCATGATATTGGAACGTTGTTCAGGCTAATGCGAATCTGGATGGTTAAGAATATTTCTTGCACACACGTAATGAATAATCGCTTAGAAGATTATTGTGTGAAAATTTTTTTTTTTTTGGAATTGGATTAAGTTTTAGTTTTCCTTTCCGTAGGACCTGAACTTGAAAGTTAAAGCCCAAACTAGTTAGTAGGAGGAGCATATATTGACTTATTAGGTATTAGGAAGTGAGTTTCCAAAATGCCTTTGATATCCTGTCGTTATGTTAAATTCACATGGAAGATAAATGTAGTTGTAAAATAATTACCTCCATTTCGCATATATATATAATGACGATTTTTGTTTGTCATAACAAACCTTCCAAACCACTGGAAATTCAAAAAGATTTTTCATTTTGTTTTAACATTTTATTAAAAATTACTTAAAAAATTAACTCAACATTGAATACACGAAACAAACAAACAAACAAAATCTCTGCGAAAAAATAAACATTAATTCTGAAGAAATAACTTTAATTTTTCTGCTTCTTAAACACTTAAACGAAGTCCTTCAGTTCTGCTCTGCTCACTCACTCTTGTGGTTGTTGTAATTTATATCGCCGACTTGCATGAATAGCCTGCATTTCTTACTCACTTTAATCACACAAATCTCGCCAAATGACGACGACATTTTCCGAATGTGAAGAAATTTATATAGTCTCCTGATATGCTTATGATTATATGTATGTATGTATGTATGTGAGATAGTTCAACAAATGTGTGTTCCCAAAAACAAATATCCATAATGCTTTCGATGTTATAGTCCTTAAATTCATTAGCCCTTTTTTCAAGTCCTTGTCCGTGTGCATCCAAATTCTTCACAATCTACGCACTTAATGCAACAAACCATGGCCATAACCGTAGTCGAGACCATAATGGCCCAGCGACCCGTGGTAGGTGGAGGAAGTGTGGTAAGCAGGCGCCGCATATACGGCTGGAGCAGCATGCACCACAGCTGGGGCAGCATGCACGACAGGAATAGCTTTAGTGGCCACTTTGTAGGTGTTGGCATAGGAGGTGGCCAATGGCGCAATGGTCTTCACAACCGGTGCAGCAACAATGGGCGCACTGTAAGTCTTCACGATTGGTGCGGCAGCAACAACGGCTGGTGCATGATAGGCTGGCGCCACAATGCCACTGTAGCCACTGTAGCCACTGTAACCCAAACCATGGCCACTGAGTCCATAGCCACCGAGTCCATAGCCACCCAAATAGCCGGCGGACGCGACAGCACAGAGTGCAGAGAAGGTGACGATCTGGAAGAGAATGAGGAAGAAAATTTAGTTAATTTTGAGAAATAATTTTGAAGTGAATTAAATCTTTTTGATTAACTAAAATACGCGAAAAGTTGCTATTTTACATTTTTTTTTGCTACTGACTAAGCAAAAAAATTTTTTTATTCCTTTATATTTTCTTCTTTCAATTGGGACTTATTAAAAATCAGCAGGACTTTTGAGTAACTTAAAGCTTGCAATTTATTGAATAAAAGCTAAATGGGCCATAAAACTGTATACCGAAAACTGTCTAAAATTCCGATAAAAAATTTAAAATTCAACACAAATTTTGTGAATTTTTCTAAATTTTTAAACTTTGAATTATGTGACAAAAGTTACAGCATGAACTATATTTCTATAAAAAAAAAAACTTTCGAAAAAATTTGCTCATAATATAAGCAAATATTGCCAAAAAACCTCTGCGGCAAATTTTTTGTTGTATTCACTGTAATGATTAGTTTGCACAATAAATCGATTTTTTTTTTGTATAAAATTTGATGTTATTATTATTTTTTGTTCGACTTCAGTTGGCTTATTCCAATATTCCAATTGAAATTTTGCCATCACTTCACTTGCAACTTTTCACAAAAATGGTTTCCTTCGCTCATTAAAAACAGCACACTTTATTATCCTTTCATATCCTTTCGTACTGCTTACCAATTTGAACATTTTTGTTGTTGCGAATTAAGATTTGTTAGCACACAAACTACCACCACTAGAGTTTGTTAGACGCAAATTTCGTTATGACTTTACATTGCAGCGGTGGCGGTTATTTATACACCAAAATCGGAAAAGTTCTTACAAAGCAACGGAATGACTAAACTTACACGCACGCATACGTTCTCATATACAGTTATACAAAAGAAAAATTGGCATATGAAGAGCAAATAAACGACAAGCCAAGTCGAAAGCGTCAACTCAACTCGACCACTCAAAACAAATATGTAGCAAGCAGAAACAACAAAAACAAAACAGTGTTTTCACAAATGCTCAAAAACGCCCTGACAACGCACCAACAACAACAACAACTCCACCGATAGTCAGCTGATGCGCGAATTGTGCGAGCGAAGGGGTTGCCTTGCCGCATACAAAAAAAAAAAAACGAAGCAATAAAATTAATTGGTCACCAACTAGCCGGATAGAACGCATGCGCATGCGCTCAATAAGCTGCGGACGCATAGCCTAGCTACGAGCTGGGAGCTTGACGCTGCTCACATGCACATAACTACACCAGTGGAAATAATACTCAGGAATATACAGTGACTCAAAAAAGCAAACGCAAGTTTCTTTTTTTTTTTAATAAATATTCAAAATTTTTATTTTTTAGTTAAAATTTTATAAAAATAGAGTTTATTTAAAAAAAATAACCACGGAAATCAAAGATTTAAACTTTATGCAAAATTTAGGGAAATTCAACCAATTTTCATCAAAGCTTCCAACTGTCCAATCTGAATTTTTAGACAATTTTTGCGTATGCAGTTTTTTAGCCTATGAAATTTGATTAGTAGAACCAAGAGCATGCTTGAAGGGGCTAATAATTTGCTAGCTTTTATGAAATATTTTTTTTTCTTTGCACATTTCTGCCATCACTAAGAGTCAGCCCAAATTCCATGGACTGTAAAACTACATACGTTATTTTTTTTTTTTAATTTATATGTATTAAAAATTTTAAATTTCGTTGAAAAATTTTTTTAGTTTTTTTTAATTTTGGATAAAGTTTTAAATATCGTTTCTGTAATAAAATTAACCCTTTTTTATAAAATATTAACAAAAAAATTACATTAAAAAAATCACCTTGTGGTCATTGTGTGAGTCACTGTAAATACATACGTACGTTTGCACCTCAGCAGTGGCAGTTTATTTGAAATACATAGGCGCTCATTGACGGCAATTATAATCACTATGCAGTCCATTTGTAATGATAATTTTATTGGCTTCACTTACTCATATTTGCAGCTTTGAAACTCAACAATTGAATTAAATGTCGCTTTTTTTGTTGAATTAGCTTTTTTGAGCGCTGAAGTGTTTAAGTGGAAATTGCAACAAAAAATAATATGCCTATAAAATGCCTATCAAAGTGGTCAGTTGCGTAGCGGTTGGCTATGCATTGACACACAGGAAATTTTTGTATATAATTTAATTTTAAAATATTAAATGCTTAGAGTTGCTTTAGTGACACTCTAAAGCCTTAGCTGATTTTTTTGTTGGTTTTTTTGTTTTAGTTTTAGTACCTAGTATGTAGTGCAACTGTTGTCCATTCATTAATTTTCAATTGATTTTACAGCCTTTAATAAATTATGCGTTAAAAGCACTTTATTTTTTGTTGTTGATTTTTACCTCTTTTTGCGCATGCTCGCCCATGTGACCGCAGGCATGTGACGATTTGTGCAACATTTTTTTTTACACTTTTAGCATTGCATGTATTGTGCTCCAAGCTAGGTCAAATGCAGCTTTTTGATTTTAATCTAATTTTTTAGCAACATTCTTGATAAGTATATGTGTACTTATGTATGTGCGTGCTTTGAATCAACTGGAGTTATCGATAAAAACCAATTCAGCTTCAAGTGATTAATAATTGCATTTTAAAAATTATGAATTTTATTTTTCATGTTTAATGGTAATCTTTAGCATAAGTTATTAAATCAACAGAACGCAAAGCTGCAGGAACTAAAGATAAAAAAAGAATCCTCAAAAGTTTGATTAATCGCTCATTCATGATTCTTCGTTTCATTTATTTTATATGGGAACTCATATACAAATATGTATTTACATAGATATGCATTGTTAAGTCTCTGCGCATTTTTTTTTTGTTTTTCGATAGTTGCAAAGCGCATATATGCACATATATATTTACCCTAATTGATTTAATTGAATAATTAGTCACAACTAACTATCGGGCATTATGCAGGTCACATGAATCGTGTACAATATGATGCAGTTATTTGCATATGTACATAGTCCTTCATATGCAACTATGCATGATAAAATCACTAAAATTGTAAGATAATGAGCTAAGTATTCTAAAGCAAGCCATTTGAAGTAAGAAAAAAAAATATTATTTTATTTTATTTATGTGGTTAACAAAATATTACGGACCGTTTTCACAGTGGAGCGTTAACACAAATTCGGCAGCTAACTTTTTCAATTTTTTGTACTGAAAACTTCTAGTTAACTGCCGAACGAGAGTTAACCTGTCACTGTAAAAACGGCCCTAAGTGACTTTTAACCAAATCTATGTAGTCTCGTATCAGTAATTTACACGAAGTAAAGAAAATTGAGTGACTAAAGCAACTATTCAATCCAAATACAATTCCTACGTCGCACGCCGGCTTCTCTCAAACCCACCTTTCCAGAAGTTGAACTGGTCGAATGCACCGAATTACTTGGATTTCAAAGGGGCTCGGAGTTTTCAGAAAACTAAGTTGGTAAATAAAATTATAATATTTTTCAAAGTTGATAAATTGGATTATTTAATATATATACACATAGTCATTAGAAATTCTAATAATTCTCTTTAGACGAAGTTTTTTAAAGAAAAAATCCTACCCCTCATATTCCGAACAAACTTTCTGTCGACAGCGTTGGTACCTTGTATTTCGCAGGTAATAGGGCTTTAAACCTTGCCTAGAGCACTGAGTGTAGGAAATTATTGGTCCTATTTCATTATATCGACTACTAAGTGGAAGATCGGCCTATCTCGGCAGCCAGTTGGAAAATGCCCTATCTCAAAAAACGTTTCATTAACGCCCCATTTCAGAATCCTATTGAAAAACAAGTAAGAAAGTCTAAGTTCGGGCGGAGCCGAACATTAAATACCCGGCGCAAGTATTAAATATATGTTTTTTCACCTTTCCGAAACCTTCCGCTAGATGGTAAGCCGGGGTGTATCAATTTTGAGTAAATT